ATACTCTCGACAAGATCGGAAGACGCTGGACGTTATACTGGGGGTTCGTTCCCTCCTTATCGCCGAAATGACTTGCTAACGGTGTCCAACCACAGGAGCGTTGGGCAGGGTATTGCCATGTTCCTCGCTGGAGGATTCTCCAGACTAACGTTTGATGCCGCTGGAACCGCTAAGCAATCGCAATATGGTGCTGTTGCCGCCTTCTTCGTATTTCTGTATACGTGTAAGTAGCCTAACAGCTCGCTTTGTCTATCGCTGAGTTGGGTTTGTAGTTGTGTTCGGGGCAACTTGGCTGACTGTCCCCTGGCTCTATCCGACTGAGATCTTCCCTCTTGAATGCCGGGCGCGCGGGAACTCTTGGGGTAGGTCACCCTTTTAACCAAACTGATATGGCGCTGACTTGTCTTAGGTGTCGTCGGTTGGTCAATCGGCAACGGTTGGCTCACCCTTTTGACACCAGTCATGTTTTCTGCGATCAACGAAAAGACTTTGTACGTGTTTGGAGCGTGCAACGTACTTAGTATTCCGTTTGTCTGGGCCTTCTATCCCGAGACGAACCAACGGACTCTGGAAGAGATGGACTTGTTGTTCAGCGCAGACAGTATATTTGCGTGGGAGGCTGAAAAGGTAAATATCAATAAGGCGAATTCGATAACAGCTGCTAACAACCGCCCGTTTTCAGGAGTTTGCCAGGTTGAAAGCTGAGCATCCTGAGGTTGTCCATCGAGCGCATACTCGGGAAAGTCATATACCTCGTGATAGCTCTTCGGCGACGCTAGGTCCGGTAAACGCAGGGAAGGATTCACTGGGGCGCGCAAATCCGTGATGTTGAATGGATATGATGAGACACATGATTGGATTATATCCATCGTTTTGGTGTTTGTATCGAGTCAATTTATGAGTGAAGTTTGTCATTAACATCGGGAGGGTCGTTATCAAAGGGTTGTTGTCTATATGCGGCTTAGCGCTAATTAAGGGCATGGTGTCGGTTGTCATAGTGTCCCGGGTCCGCGCCTCAATCAGGTTTTGTTCCCTTCGTCGACCACACTCCCCCTCCCGCCTCTTCGGCGTTGAAGAGAGATAGTTTCCGAGTTTGGACTTTCCACTTCCAGTCTTTACGACCTTCCTTTCCTTTATATCAACACTACACACTAAATATGCCCCATTCCGACCTCGATTTTTTGAAGAACATCCGTGTTGGCCATCCTGGTCACGACCGCAAGATGGCTAAGCGAGTCGAAGAGAAGAGGGGTAAGTTTCTGCATTTTCCTCTCATTTTTTCTGTGTTAATTGAGTTGAATAGGCTGTAGTTTGTACACTGGACCGGCGTCGGGAGCGTCTGTTGATGCACTACAGTCATTCACTATGACTTGGGATACCTCCTGCCTCTCTACATCTGCCTCCAAGCCCTCGACCATCGATATCTATCTCTCTGCCCCAAATTCCACTGCCTCTAGCGCGATCCATGTCTGGCAAAAGGTCAACTTTGCCGCTGGTACCTTTACCGATCAACTCAAGCCCAAGTGGTGGAACTCGACAGCGTCGGCCAGTCTGCAGCTGTCGTTTGTCGAAAGCGGCACCCCCATCTTCTTGTCCAGTCTTCCTGCTGGACCTACTTGGAACGCCAAGTACGATGCGACCGCTGCTGCTACGGCCACTGACGGCGCCGCGGCGGCTATCGACACTAGCACACCGGACGAGGTCTACCAAACTGTGAACAATAATACCAATACTGGCGGCCTTAGCAAAGGCGGACTTGCCGCGGCTGTCATTTTTCCCATTTTGGCTGTCGCCGTCGCCCTGGCTGTATATGTCAAGTTCAGCCGCCGCAAGGAAGCGAAAAAACGCCATCGCTGGTCTCAAGCCATGGACAAACGCATGTCTGTGGTCTCCAAGGATTGGGTCGGCAGCGGTCGTCCATCTGGTGTCGGAAACCGCAACACGCGCGCCTCGAGCTGGTACGTCCAGAACATGGGCAGTACCAACGGACGACCCTCGTCCACTTTCGCGACCGAGAGCGGCCAGGCAGGAATTGGCGCACGTCATGGACCGCCGAGCGTGCACCCGTCATCCATCGGATCGGCGCCAGAGATGGGGCAAGTTCGCCCGCGTGCGTTGTCTGCTTTGAACCCGGACCGCATTAGCCGCGTGAGCTTTGCTGGTGACTCGCGTCCCTCTTTTGGCGACTCCTTGCGCCCTACGCACTCGCACAACACCCCTACCCGGGCGTTCCACAACGCTACGACGGCCTCGGACGATATGGAAATGAGCCCAACTCAGACCACAGGCCCATTCTCGTTGAGCGCCGATGAGATCCGAGCCAAGGTTGCGCAAGGACAGGAGTACGGCCGTCCTAGTGTAGATGGAGAGCTAAGGGAGGATATTTTGAAGATGCCGGCCGCAACTCGTGAGTTCTAATTAGGCTAGATCATGATTGACTCTGATCCCGACCCTCGATCAGATCTTCGCACCGGACAAGGCAGTGAAGACTATATTCTCCGTCCCGAGAGCATGGCCCTGGCTTATGACGCGTACGATGCGCCTGGCGTCTCAGTTGAACCTCCCCCGGCGATTCACAGGGCTTTGTCTCCTGTCGGCGCTATGCCCATGCTCCCTACCACCTCTTCGCCCGATGGAATGATGTACGCCTACGCCCAGGCTCGCAACGCTGGACCCAGCCCAGCTGGTACTCAGCAGGGCATGCGCACCCTCTACGCCCCCGCCAACGGAGGGTTGAGTCCCTCTGCCGCCGCCGAAGATCGGAACCCGTATAGGAAGAGTATGACGAGCGATGTGTCGTCGTATAGCGACGCGAGTGGAGACAATTCCGTTGGAAAGGCTAGCTAGTCGAATGCATCCTTTCCTCTTGAACGACGGTCCTAGCGGCCCCTACTCGGCGCTTGTCTCCTGGCTCAAATGTACTTTTCCTATCTTGCGCGGATAGTAGTTGTATTTTTTGTGGTATGGTGTGGTATAGTCATTCCTCCAATACCCGTGGCGCAATGCCAGTTCCGTTCGTTACCTTTTTGTCCATCGCCCGTGGTCTCTTATTTCTCTTCATATCTTATCTTCACCCGTAGCGCCAAGTCGCATCCCTTTATCCCTCCCACCAGCCTTTTACCTTCCCGCGCCTAACCTACTTGCTTCCTTCCCGTAACTCTTGCGCCGAGTTCATTCTTCACCCCGGCCGGTGTTTTTTCTGCCTCTTTGTTGGGGCTTAGTTTTTGGTTTTAGCGGTTGTTTATACATAACGTATGACATTATCTCGGCTGTTTTGTAGTTTTTTCGGTTTGGGTTTTGAATCGATTATGTTCCTGATATGTTGTTCGATGAAAGCCATGTGAGCTGAAGCCAAATCAGTTTCACAAGTTCCTGTTTGAAACTCTATCACCTTGCTTCTGCAAAGTCACGCTCCCCCCCCCAAATGAGACGCAAAAATCTGCAATCCACGGATCTGGCGCTTAGACACCTAAACCAATCCGCTCCAGGCTCTGCTGACAAGCCTCCTGTTCTACTCCTTGCGACACATAGCAATTTCCGGTGCACCAAAATACTTCTATATAAGTCTCGGAGCTTTTTTTAGTCTCAAAATATCGAAATTTTCTCGTATTTAGATTGTGGAGTAGTCTAAACTAGCCCGACTCCTGACCCTTGAGCCTTCAAGTTCAAGGTTGTATTTAGTCTTGCTCGCGCCCGACACAATCTGGTCATTTCTTTTGTCCTCTCACCGCGCGTACTCAAGCCCAACGTGATTGACTTACTACAGGTTATGAGCCCCGGCGCTCTGGACGCTGGCCCTTCTTTTTGAGTCGTCGAACGGCATCTCCTCGTCGCTCTCCGCCAGAGGTGTGGAGACCGCGCGGCATCTCAGGGGCTCTCCCTCACTCGAAATGCTCGCCGACGGCCATCTCGCGCCATGGTGCTGTTGGCAGCCGCGTAATGTGCTCCGATCCCACTCGTCTTTGTCCTACATTTGCCTGGTCCCCTATAGACCCTGGCGGCTCACCCAGTCGAGCACGCTTTCTTCCTCTTAGTGTCGAGTCGTCTTCACATCCGGGTAACGCGGGCTAGTGACTATGTTTAAAGCCTAACAGGTGGCTGGTTAGATCTGCTGGACTGGTAAAGCTACGCATATATACAGATCATGATCATGCTTCACTGACCAACTGGGTCTTTACTATGCTGAATACGGAACAGAGAACTTAAAACTCTGATTTCCGAGTGGTACCGCATTAAAACGTCTTGAATTTACCCCAGTGGTATATGACAAGGCCGCTGGATTCAAGCTCTCACGTAAATCGGTACGCTAGTCCGAATTGTGTACCTGTAATTCAATCTATTGCTCATGATGGGTCTGGCCAATTTTCACTAGTACCATCAGGGATCGTGTATGTGATGCAACCTTTACACCGAGTCGTGTGCGAAAGCAATCTGGATGTAGGTGCCGTTAATCGCAATGTGGTTTGGATTCTATGGCGCATTTAGTCGTTGTATGTTTGCTTCTTTGCAGTTTTTAGGCTGGACGTATCCTCACGTTTTATATTCAAATTTTCACAGAGAGTCCCTTCAATGGTTGTACTTCCAAGTGCTACAGGCTCTATAGTGACCCCTGCAGCGAGGCTGCAAAGGCTTTTCCGACAAAAAAGGCCTCGCTAGTGGCTCCCCTATAATAAAAAGCTCAGGTCGGACCCGTTCAAGGTTTAACTCTTCACCATAATGCTTCGCGTTCACATCCACATCTTTCAGTCACTCCGGAGATCGAGTCGTTGGGGCTCTGAGTAAGGTTCCCCATTCTGGTATCCGGAATTTTATGTTTTACCGCCTGAAACATTGTGCCTTCTACGTTCGTACTTAAGAACTAAAAGCTATTTAACTATCTACAAGTCTGTGCTCTGCCCGATAACTCTTCGTCAGCTCGCTACGCATCAGAAGCAGAGTCAGTAGCTCGGGAGGAGCTATTCTCAGTGAGGACATAGATTCTAAAAGGCGGACAATTATCGGTTCCTATGGTCTAGTGGTTATGACGCTTCGTTGTGGTCACGCAAATGCTTACGTAATAAGCGCCGAAGCAGCCCGTGTTCGATTCACGGTGGGGACATTTGCTTTTGCCGAGTCCTTTTTGTAGACTCTGTCCAAAATTTAGTGGACGGTACCGTGTCCAACCGAAAAATGGCACGGGCTTTACAGATGGTGATGTCAGAGTTGTCGGGGCTTTAAAACATACGGTTTTTTTGCACCTATCTTATAGAGGAGTGCCGAATGATACACCAGCCAAAATTTCAAGTGATTTGGCTGAGTCGTCGGCGAGATACGCTGGAAATGAGATATGGCCTGGCTGGTTGACCGGGAAATGGAACACGTGACTTATATGCGCTTTCCACCTCCAATTTTCTCGAGTGTCGATCGAATGGGCTTTATTAGTATACGTGAGACTATGTTTAAATAAGTGAACTGCTTAGGTACCCGGTGTTTAAACCACAGACTGAAAAATGATTGCTTGGCAACGAAGGATGTCCAGAAGCTAGCAGATTCAGCTACTGCAAGGTGTATCTGACCAGCGTGGTACCTCAGCAAAGTCATTTTAGAGCCCCCCTACATGTCCAAGGAGATTACCAAGAGACTCACAAGGCAGCACAAGCCTTCGACGATACTGAAGAATGAGGGATTGTGGTGCATGATGCCACCAAATGGGGTGCTGTTACCTGCCACTCTGGATTGTACATGTAGCTAGGCGCGCATAAGCGGCCTGGAGGAATAAGAACGGTATATCAAGCATCAAAACACTCTTCTGTGGGTTCTAAATGAATCAGACGAGTACCAGGTAGCTCGTTCTGAAGTTTTCGGCTTGGATTCAACTTCTGGGTCTAAAGCCTCCAGATAGTTTGTATCCTATAACTTAGATTTCAGAACACTTGATACATATATGTAACCTCTGCACAATAACCCTTCATTTTTACAACTTTGAAGTATGTTAACACAGTAGGTTTCGATGTAAATGCGACCGCGCCACTTCCCGGTCACGTGCCACTTCCTGGTGAGGCACGGTATCCTAAACTTTGCTCCTATCTCGACGTGAGGTCGAATTTTTTTATTCGCGCCTCAAATGAACATCCAAGACAGATGTAGGCCGACTAAATACAATGTTTATTACGAAACGTAGACTCAAAAAGGTGAATGGACGCAAGGACGAAAGAGATCACTCGTCTCCAATCTTGGGTGCGAGGTAGTATTGGATATGGCCTTGGCCAAACTTGTAGTGTACCTATTAAAGTACGGTTCAGTGATAGAAATGATTCGCTAAAGAAGATAAGTACCAGCAGCGGAACCTCGTTGCTCAACTTGAGCGTAACATGGTTGGACAGAGACGTGGACTTGGCGAAATTGACCAAGTACTTGAGCGAGAACGTCAAGTTGACGCCTTGGCTAAGCTCGACCATCACTCCGCCCGTCGAGTCAGACCCCTCATCGTTCTTCTTTTTCTGAGAGGACCGCTTTCGCTTCTTCGTGGCGCTATCCGACTCTTCCTCGACGTCAGACCCAGCTTCTTCCGCTTCGTCGTCCTTTTCTTCTTCGCCGTCCGAAGTAGGTTTGAACAGTTTCTCCCCACCGTCATCCTCTTCAACTTCTTGTTCCCCGTCCTCCATCTTGACATCCGTGTCGTCGGTGCGCTTGCGCTTCCTGGGCTTGTCCGATTTTTCCTTCTTGACTTTGACTTTCTTGCCCGAGTCCTCGTCCATATCCTTGTACCGTTCTCGTGCACTCTCTGTGGCCTTGAGCAACACGCTGCCATTCGCGGCTTCACCATCGGCAGAGAAACGGATGCCCTCCTTGGTGACTTCGATCCTAACAGACTCCCCAAGTGCGCTGAGGTCTCGCACGATTCGCGCAAACTCGGCCGACTGCATCACTACTGTCGCGTCGTAGTCGGTATCTGGGATACCGAGTGTGTCGATTTCGATTTCCATGAGCTTCATCTCGTATTCAGCGATCCTGTCCGAGTCTATATCCGCATCAGTAATTGCCCAAAGTAGATAAAGAATACACGTACTGCGCGCCTCGTACACCAAATTGAGCACGTCCGCGTTGTCAGATGCCTTGAGAGTGACCCGATCATCGTCTTTGGCGCACTTAAGGACCTTAGTAAGTGAACCAAGGTTTACACCTAGGGGCATCGGTCGGTCGCAGCGGTATTTTTCAAATCCTTCGGGCTCGAGCTGGACAGAAACGAGCGCAACGTGCGAGTTGTCCATCGCTTGGAGTTTCTATCATAATCATGTTAACTCGCGCTCTCATATATAAATGAAACGCAAACTTACTAAACCCTCATCTCCGCACTCAAAGTTCGCATCTGTCACCAGTTCTTTGATGGCTGGAGATGTTCGACGCGTTAGAAATATAACGATACGCGTACAATAGCCATATGTTTACCATCCAAAAGCTTCTTGAGAGTCACGGCTTGTTCAAGGCGCGCTTCGAGCATGGTGTTGGGTGGTTGGGTGGGTAATGGTGGGAGGGACGAGGATCAGACAGACGCGTCTCTAGCCTAAACAAGAGCACGTGACAAAGCCACAGAACATCAACGCCACGACCCATTACAGCTGTGCATGAGGCACCACCGGTGTTTGCGTTTTGACTACGGTAGAGGCTCGTATTCACCAATAGGACTGCCTGTACGAAAAAAAAACTAGTAACTTAATCTACTAATTTCATGATTACTGCGTTGTTTAAATAGGAATATTGAAGGCAAACATCAAGTAGGCCCGTAGGACAACCTGGACGAGCAAGCCCTTGGTTGGTGTCGAAAGATAGTCGCCCTAACCACTCCAGGCTCCTCTATAATGGATTAATACTTCCTTTGTTGGCTTATGTTCAAGTTTGACTTATCAATTAATGTCTCAATCAAATGGACCAAGTTGGTTAATTGTGATCGAATTTATGATTGCGCTCTGGTACTCCTTTTGGTTTTGCACACTGTTTGGAGAAACGTCTCACTTGTGGAAGCTACGAGCTCGTTGAGCAATAGTTCAAATATCTTCTCAAGGCCCACATTGTTATCCTGAGCTAAGCTGCTGTATTGTAAGACGTTGGCTAAAATTGCTCCGGGCGTCGCGTCTACCTCCGAAAGAGAAAATCGGGATATGTAGCCGTTGGATATTAAACATTCATTCTCCCCGTAAGTTATTTCATTGTGTCGAAACCGGATTTCTTGAGAGACAGAGGCATACGGGCATTAAACCCTTGCAGTTTCGCCACAACAAATGTTTTGCCTTTTCCTCCTCTTCAATCGGATTCTTTTAACTCGGCTCCGCTTATGTTTTGACCACTTTGCTCCAGGATACGTCAGCAATATAAGTTTCTACCGAATTACAGGTAAACAATACAAACTACCACCCTAATGATATCCCATGATAAAACCTCTTGTTACTTATGCGAGTTTTAGTCTTGAAGAATCGCACTTGTTTGCATATATATGCGCAATATAACTCTAGACAATCGTACTATACTCTGGCGCATATGCAAATGACGCTAGCCACCACCCCGCCCGTTATCGACCGCCGACCCGAGCGCGCCCCGCCGAAGCCCCTATTCTCCTGTTGACTTCTTTACCCAAACTCAGCCACTCCCAGGGGACACTCAATGCCCGTTATATAGATGGGCCGCTCTAACAGTTTACGGCAGCTCGGTGGCCATCGCTTCGCCCCGACGAGCATAGGGGCTTCCAGCGCACGGGCCGCTTCCTCTCCTATAAGTCAAGCCTAGCTGCGCGATTCGAGTCCAAGACCTGCACCTTCGTCCCCCCTCCCACTTTCGCCTACGCCTTGGCCGCTCGCCGCTTGCAGCCAAGTGGCCACCGCTGCTACTTCGGCAT